CCATGATCGAAGTTAATGCTACTTTGGAGTCCAGCCAAGGAAAAGAAATCGATCAACGTGAGTGAAAGATGACTGCGTTTAAGTAACTTTTATTTTGTACCACGCGAAGGTCTGGCCATGATCATTAAAACGTTTACGAATGAAAAAATTCAGGGGGAATAAGTGAAAGTTGTCGGGAAAATTATAGAGCGTAATGCGAAAACTTCATCTTACTTGCTAACTAGAAACTCAGCTACCTAATATGCACAACTTCGTTACTTTCTGACTGTCGTGTATCGCCGTTTAAAGCTTACAGAAATATACTCGCACTTTCAAAATTATTTTCGAGTATTACATTACGAGACATTTTTCAATGCACCAATCTCGAACATAATGCCGAGAAAATAACGTCAAATGCAATGAAGAATAAAAGCATACACAGAGAAAGAAGAAAAATCACCAAAGTAGATTTAATTTTCATTTTAATTTAATAAATATTGCATTTAATAAATTGTTCTTTTATATGATAAATGATAATCTGAAAACCATTTCTCTCTATAATTTTCAGTTTTTAAGAAACCAAATTTTAAAGAGAAAGTAAAAATTATTATTCAATTTGAATAAAAGCACAACAAATATTGAAAATCATGAATAACTCTAATTTTTTCACCAAAATCTGCACACAAGTATTTACAATTGAAGAATTCTATAGAACAAGACCCAGAAACATAATTTAATGCTGCATAAACGTATTAATTATTTAAATAGTAAGTACCAAGGTTACTGGCACCACGAAACAGAGAATTTCTATTAGGAAAGTAAACTATACTACACAACAATGAGATCTAGACTAAAATGATTACTCAAATAACTCGTGACGTGACTATCATAATACATTCGACCAAATATTTATAAACGAAGCGAACACACCAATAAAACTGATACTTCAAACTCTTTATTACGCTCATTAAAATTTATATTTTCGTTAGATTACAACGAATTAATGAATATATTCGCGAATTTTGTTGCTTTTAAGTTTCATAAAACTAATTCATCCACTATATTCACTGATATAAATAGTCGATGATTTATGTATGAACTGGAGTGTAACCGTTATTCGACAAGAATGCGCAGGAAAGTGTGAGTCACTGCTAATTACTTCTTTTCTATTTTTTCACGATTTTTCAACAAAGTTTATTCACTACTTGGAATGTAAGAATGTGATCCATTTTGATTTTATAATACTCTAAATTATTACCAAGAAGAACTGAAATAACATGAGTTCTGTGTCTTTCAACGAGAACTTCGATGACAAAAGTGGAGAGCTGCGATATTGAATAATTCATTGAAAAGAGTAATTGGTAAATGAATAAATTTAATCATGACCTATTGCTAATCATTAAATTAACTAAAACTCGCCATAAATTAAAAAGATTCTCTTCCAGAAATTTGAATAACTTTTAGAGGAACATATAAATCAATAAATATAGATTGTTTTGGTACTTCAGATGTTATGAAACTAAAAATTAAGTACGTCGTTGGATTTTGTGTTTACTGTTTGATATTATTATACAAGAAATTCGCGTTAAATAAAAACGAAAATGATTTCTCGGTCTAGAACGAAAAAATTGTATGCTCTGGCCTGTAAAAATCACATTCCAATAAAATTACTCGAATTAGCTCCGAGTGACTCGAAGCAGCTCGTTATTTCCCATTAAAATGACGGTACAGGCTTGATTACGCGTACACCTGGCCCCGAGCGTCTAACAAGTTTACCTTCGAAAAGTCAAGTTCACGCATAGGTGCGCAAGTGGTAAAATTGCGAGAAATGGTAAACCTATTCGGCTGCTGATTTACGACGACGAAAAGGCAACGCGACAAAATGATCGCGGGCAGTCACCCTTCGATGCACTTTTCGAGAATAACGACTTAAGTTTTGTGGATCGAAATAATGTCATTTCCAATTTTTATTAAGATTTTTTAAATATAATGTCATCGAATAATTTTTAGTTAATTTCTTGTATTTTTTCATACGGTTTCGTGTTTAAAGCATATTCTCACACGAACTATTCACATTTCCTGAAGAAATGTGATTTTCAATAATTATTTTGTTGTTCATTGTAGGAATAAAATTACGGTTACTCTAAATGTATAGTTTTGTAAATCATTTTCATATTTACTAAGAATCTACAATTTTTATAACTGCTTCCGTCTTTTTGAAAAAGTACTACAGAAATGATAAAAAATTATTTTTGAATTTTCCATTTTAGAAAATTACTCGAAATTTAATACTATACTCAAAATTTAGAGACAAGATTAAAATAAAAGTATACGGTATTGTTCTATCAATTCTATTCTTTCTTTCCCACTTTTTCCCAATTACAGCATACACTTTAATTATACATACATTATTACACTCGATCTCATTTTGTTTTTAAAATATTATTCCTACTTAAGAAACTCAATTAAAAATATTGTTTTACGAAAAAATAGGAAATCTTCAAAAATAATCTAAAGATCAAATAATAGTTTACACATTATACAAATGCAAAAGTTTCAACGTTTCTTTTTGTATGAAATAAAAAGGAGAAATAAAAATATCTTTCAAATATTTTTATCGACTTCATCTATTATACAATTACCATTGGTTGCTCACTAACTCTCATCTTTTTATAAACTTATTTATACCATCATTTTAAAAATATGATTTCTGAAAGAACAATGAGTCCAGTGATATTTCTATTTGCTCCAAAAAACGCCCAAATATGTCCATCAACCCAAGAAACGATCTCTCGGTATTGGTCCAGATTATGAGTTTCCTTTTTCTTTTTTCATTAAAGAAATCTGACCTGGACAGACAAGAACGAAAGAGTGAACCAATCCCAGGAATGCGAGTGACGGAAGGCCGCGGGCGTTCTTAGAAGGTAGCAGCAGGTTCAGAGTTAACGGTGTTCTACCCCCACTATCCTCGCCGCTTTTATACACTGTCTTCTCTTCGGTCAAGGACACTCGGAATCAGGTCACTTGCCACCGAAAATTGTTGAGTATTCAACCGAGACAAAAGTATTCGATCCGAGAAATGAAACGATTATAATAAAACCATTTTATGTGCCGGGCATTAAAAAAATGCTTTACTGCCGAGGAAAGAAATTGAATGACATAGATAGAGTCGAAAATAAATAACAGTCAACGGCGAACGATATATATTTCAGACGAATTATATCGCTATAAATTAGATTCTGACTGAAGAAACATAAATTTAATCATTTTTTGATTGCACCTTTGGTATTAATTAACCTTTCGACACTTTTCCGTGGTGGATTGTAAATTTCTGTATTTTATCGGTCGAATCGATGACTGAACATGAAATCACATGCGAATAAAGTTTAACTGTAAATTCAAAGTTTGACCTTTGGTGCAGTATATTGTTAGTGCGCCTGAGAATATTTCGAACGCGGCGCCAAACTTCGACACTACGTGAAGTACATCGAGTGCAAAGGTTAACTTGTCATCTTCAATCAACGGATTAAACGTACAACACGTTTTTCAAGGCTACCGACGAAGACGTAGAAAATAATCATTGTATTTTCAGATTCACATAATTGTAATCAATCGAAATTATCAAACGTTCCACAAATTTATCATTATATTAGTTCGTATGATACTACGAACCTTGAGAAACTTCAAATCTTTTGAAATATATAATAAGATTTACATTTTATCTCCAATATGAAATCAGACTTGCAATTTACAAGTTGTAAACCCAAACTTTCCAATGTACCACCTTCGTCTTACCACTGCAAAAATGACCGAACAAACCGAGGTAAAATTTTCTATCTTGTTTTGGATAATTTTAGTCGGATAAGGTAATTAACAAAAAAGACCAGGTTTTCCACTGTGGCGTTGACTTTCATCGATCCTGTTCCGAAAGTCCGAAGACTCGTAAATTTACGTAGCCTGACTACGATGAATCAACTACGACTATTTCTCGGAATTACTATATTACTATATATGAATTCGCAAAGTGTTTCGTAGAGGCGTGACCGGAAGCGCGAGCACGTTTCCTCAGAACGCTCGAACTTTCTCTTAAACCCACATCCGCGAGCGTATTTACCTCGATGACTCCTCCACGGAGTTTTTTGTCAACGAACGTAATCTGCTCGGCGTCTTTTGCGCAGACCGCTCTCGCGTTTTTACGAATATTCCTCGATCATTGATTCGACTGCAAAAGGAAATGAGTTCCTAATTCCAAGATCCCGTGTACACAGGATGTTCTAAAAGATGGGAGCGAAACTCAAACTACCAGTTTTAACCGTTTGCACTCGATTGACTTTCAATGTTGTCGGTTGTAAACTTGTATTTATTTTTGGGAAAATGAATTAAAGGAATTTCCAGCGGTAGAATTCAACGTCCTATATTTATTTGATTTATTATTATAACAAGATTTAATTTTTATGATCTTCCAAAGTGTGTTACGAGTGCAAAAGGTTAACACGTCGAATGCCATACGATTTCACGTAGGAAAATACAGAAAATGAAAGAAATATAATATGAAACTTGTATTTATTTTTGGGGGAATGAATTAAAGGAATTTCCAGCGGTGGAATTCAACGTTCTATATTCATTTGATTTATTATTATAATAAGATTTAATTTTTATGATCTTTTAAAGTGTGTTACGAGTGCAAAAGGTTAACACGTCGAATGCCATACAATTTCACGTAGGAAAATACAGAAAATGAACGAAATATAATATGAAATTATTTCATTGAATCGTTTTATTATTATTGCGCGTTTAACAAAAACAGTTAGTCTCGAACCCATATTGACGCGTATCTCTAGAAAAAATACCATAAAGGCAAGAAGCGGGACTGTTCGATGGCTCGACAGACAATATGCATTTCAAATTTCTGAGTCATCATAATTCAAACGCAAACGACGCATTGAAATTCCATTGTTTTTTACTACCGTCGGACTAGAATCTCTCGTGATACGCCGAAAGAGAAGGATTTGCAAACTCACCGCAAAACGGTACACCTTCTGGTAACCAGGAGCCGTCTGCCTGACACTGTCTTCGCGCTGGCCCGAGTAGTTCAAAGCCACGCTCGCAGTAATACGTGGCCACGGTGTCTACGGACAGCATCCTGTCCTTCAGAAGAGCGTCCTCTTCATCTATCACATCCTGGGTACCTGGTACAGTGAACCGGACGATGCTGTGTGCAGGTGCGCCAGGATAACCACACCCGGAACCGTTGCAGCCTGCAATGAAATCAAACTCCAGTAATATACAAATGAACTGTTTGGACAATTTTTTGGGACTTTCCGCAGGCTAAAAGTACTGTAATAAGCAGAGTGCAAATTGTTTACTCATTTGTGAGGAAAAATATGTAAAATATCCATAGTACGCTGCTTCTTAGAATATTTGTTATGGAAAACTATTTTTGGCATTAATTGTGTTTTAATTCTGTTTTTAAAAATTTGAATTTGCGTAAAATTAGAGGCTCTAATTATGAGTTTTCTATAAAGTTTCCATTAGGAATGATTTTTTCCTCTGCTGGCATTGAATTTGTAAAGGGTGTAGCAAGACAAGTGGGTCAACAGTGCCCTTAGACCGATTTTTCTCGAGAAAGTTTTCTTCGGTAGCTTAACAATAGAAAACATTGTATACCAATTTTCAACCGTCTGTCTCAACCACAAGAATAGTTATAACGTAAATGCGAATTATCAGTGTTTGTCCCATTTTCTCTATTTAATCCTTTTCACTCGAAAGGTAACTCTCAGTCACCATTTGATTTGATATAACAAAATTACAAAGTATTATATATAATATTAAGTTTTGTTTAATGCATCAGTATGTGAAATATTTATATAAAATAGCTTTGTTTCATAATTTACGTATGTTTTGTCATTAGCTCGTTTCAAATAGTGTCATCTATGTCTCATCGGAAAGTGTCGAATGTTTCTAGTGAAAAGCTTCTGAATGCAAAGGGTTAATGGTACGTAACAATCGTGAAAAAATTCTCAGACATTTCTGGCATAGCAATGCATGGCTGATAATTTTTTAAAAATTTAAGAGCACTCCTGACTCCTTCATACTCTACACCTTTTGTAACAGAAAAGAAACGGCAGGTAGAGACACGGAAAACGAGTATAAGATAGATCCACGTTAATCAGGTTCAAGCGAAACGGTGGGAAAGAATGTGGAGTACAAGGAAAGGTACAGAGAAAGTCATGAAAAGATGCGGATGTGGAAAAACCGTAAAAGAAACGAGGAAGGTAAACAGGTTAGAAGCAGAAATACGAAGAACTAAAGGCTGGGAGGCAAGAAAAACAAAGAAACACGCGTAAAAATGACTACAAAAACTCCACACTCCGCACAAAGCTTCCGAGTGTAAAAGGTTCATTTTCGGAGGCAAATTTCTAAATAGTCAACGTCGAATCTCTTTCCGGTAAAACTGTCGATGTACTGCGTCCGCTCTGATTTTGATAATTTTGAAATATGTCGTTGGGGAGACGATTTCGAACAACTTTTTCCTTTATACGCTGTTGCCTACGGAAGGCTTTAGTTTTCGAGATATTCGCGAAAAACTATGGTACTACTACATTAAATTCTGCATTCATAAGCGCAAAAACACTCTAGTGGTAGCAAAGTTTCTCGCGATTACCTCGAAAACTGGAATCTTCCATGGTCAGTATATAGAGGAAAAAGTTGTTGAGAATCCTGTCCCTAAGAACATATGTTAACACACTGCGTATCGACTAATTATCAGAGAATTGAATTGTGCGGATTTTCAGTGAGATTCACTTATATCACTGTCTATAAAAAAAACTCAAATATATTGTTATGTAATAGATTTTAAATGGACAATTAGTTCTAATCAAATTTAATATCTCTTTAAATGCTGTGGTAATTAGCAAAGTTATATGACTAAGAGTCTTCGTATAAAAACTAGATATCTCGTTATCAGTACGCAATGTGTTAAAATCATCAAGATCATTGCGAACGCAGTACATCGACAGCTTTACCCTCGTTTCTTTTATAAAACGTCGGATCGTGTCCGAAACTACTTAATCGCGATATCATAATAATCGTCACGTATTTTATTGAATTTGATTGTTTCGCATATTGTGAAATTGCCATGGATTTACGAGATACATCCGCGGTTAGCTAATGAACACGCAGTTCCTTTCTGTAACGGATTATGAAAATTGCGCTCGGGTAAATTGTGGTTCAATTATCTCCTATCTCGCGTGAACTCCGTTCAATCGGTCCGCGGCTAATTTACACGAACAATGCAACATTTCTATTGCCCGGTTGGCAATTCGCGCGAGCACGTCACGGTGCTTGAGTGACACGCAACTACATCATCACGCGCGAAACACATTTGTTAGGTTGGAACCGTTGCGAAGCGGGACGTTGCCTCATCGGGCGTCGCCAGTTCCTCGAGCCGATGATTTCAATGACCGGCAAAGTCTCGTGACCTGCGTCACGCATTCAACTCTCGACTGTTATTTCTTCTTTTCCTTCTTTTCCCTTGCCTTTGTTTCGCCGACTCGCCTTCCCGCGATCAGAAACGACCGTCAACGCTGCACTACAAGTCACGCATTGCGATGCCATAACGCAAGCTGGATAATGAAGCTAAAATTAAATGGAGCCATTTAAATCGATTCATTACTGCATTCGTTTTCCACAGTGCCGATGGTACTTACACGCTGGTTTTCGAAAGGAAATATTTGCTTGTGAGATTAGCGTGAAGTTATATTCAAATACAGTGAAACTACAACTATGACCGAGACAATAACAAAGAAAGGTATCGAACCCGGAAATTTAAAAAATTATAGAACTTTGTGTGTAAGTATAAAACCACTCCCTGAAAGAATGCAAATGTTTCTTTTCCCTTGATTATCTTGAAAACGGTAAGAGATAGCGAAAGAAAGTTTAAACAAAAAATACGTTGTTCTTACATGTTTAAAAGATTGCAAAACAAAATTTACAAAATTTAAAACATAAATTCAGAATTTTGAAAAATTTGAATGTATTTCTAAAGTTCAGGAATCTCATTTCACCTAGAACTTCAGTAGTTTCTTAATATTACAGTTACCGAACTTTAATGTTAAATACCATTCGGCAAATCATGTTCCATAATCTTTTTCAATAGTTCCATGATCAATTAATTACCTTTTAATTAACGTTATATGGATTACTATAGAAGCATGAAGAAGAAATAATCAGTCTCTCTTTATTTAATTATAGAACCGGAAATAATTAACACGTTTTATTCAATATTTCGTACACGATGAGCTAACGTCAGACGACAAAGAGATCACGGTTTTTAAGTGGCCACGAAGAACATTTACTTTAATGAATTCTTTAATTAACAATGTAAACGATTCGTTAAATCGAAATTTTAATAAAGCTGCGGTGTAAATGTACGTCCATTCCAAAGTAAGGAACAAAAATGTTAATACAAACGGAATTGAAAACAATTAGTTCCAGAGTTGCTAGACGCTTTCTACTGTATGTCTGTAACGGTATAAAACACTCTATCGCGTATTTAACTGAATCATATATTAAAACCTGTTATTCTTGCAAATAAATTAACAAGGGCAACATATTTTCATTTCCTGGAACCTAAATTATCCGAAATGTTGGGGAATATTGCAAAAATAAAAGTACGAATGTTATTTATGCGCGATAGACGTGATGCTCGTTCTGTTGAAAATGTGAAGCAACGTTTAAAAGCTAAGTTTCGTGTAAGGTGTTGGAGTTATCTGCGAGGACGCTTAAAAAGAAGAGTGTACGGTAAACCAGTTATTTCCTTAGGTGATTTGATACGGCGAATCGAAAACTACTGTCAGAAGATAAGCGGAATGTCGGGAACCTTTCAACATGTACGAGCTTTTACGAGGAAGCGCGTCGAGGTGTGTGTTGAAATAAACGGGGGACACATTAAAAGTATAGCGTGGAGCTAATGTCTCATTAACAAACATATCTTGTAACTGTGATATTAATGGATCTTGAATCCAAGTTTATTAAGACTGTCTTGTATCCTTTGACGATTACTGCATGCTGCTGAAGTTGAATCGGAATGTTTATCAACACCCCGTACATGAGCGAAACGTTTTCTGTTTTCGAGATATAATTACTTACGCGAAGTTACTGTACTACTTTCGGGAACAAGTTAATTTTCTAAGAATTGAGATCTATTGAGTTACCTCATAAATAATACGGTTTTGTATGTTCCTTTTATTTTCAAAAATAAAGATGCACGACACTTGAAAGTGGTTATAATGTTTCAGATTGAAAGCAGTTTTATTTATCTTTGTTTTTAAAAATAAAAGAAATACGAAAAACCGCGTTATTTATGGAATGACCCAATAAAATATCTCTGAAGAAATTGCTGCGCGTGAAACGTGTGAAAATATTTAAAATATTACAGAAACGTATTAAATGAAAATTTATTTTACTTACTAATATACGATTTTCGTGTATCAAATACGACAATTTACGAACGTAACTCTGTACTAAACTGACATCTGAAGAAAATCGGAAAATCGTTCCTTCGATCTTATTACTTTATTACATTCCTTTTGCACTTATTTATTCTAACGCCTTCTGCTTCGCTTTCTCTTCGAAGTCGAAGACACGTTTGCACAAAATGTACAATGCAATGTCATGTCTATATCGCACTGAAACTACCATTAATTGTTCCTACCAAAAATGGACTCACGCCGCTTTCAAAAGAACGGCTGAAATAATCTCCAGGTGGAATTCTCTGCAAACTTATTTATGCAGACTGAGTTTCTATCGCATAGATCACGGAACTCGCCGCTGTACCTAACATTCGCCACTTTCATGTGAGTAATCGTAAGTAACTTTCATTTCGCATCGGTTATTACGAGCAAGAGGTGCACGAAATACAAACGACCGTTGATGAACGACGATCCTTCCGTTTGCCGGTAACTGTTGCTGGATAACTGCCAAAGGAAGAAGAGCAACCGAGACTGAAGAGAAGAAAAACTGTCGGAAGTTATATAAAGGAAACGAGTGAAATTTCAACTCGGATTTTAGGTAAAACCTCAACAGATCCTCGCGGTAACCGATTTTAACCAATTATCGATTTTTAATGATTTTCTCACAGCAGGTCCAACGATAATTGTGGCCCGCTATAGTTTAAAAATTTTTAAATTACAATTATTTTAGTTAATTCTGTACGCCAATTAATTAATTTACATTAAAAGCAACCGATAAAGGTTTT